CAAGAGTAGTTTTTTCCAGAAAAACGTTTATTGCACCAAGGCAAAGAATGAGTTAAGCAGCAACCTTCGCCTCCTATTCCTCAACTGCGGTCCCGGGGCTGCTGCACCAGGAAGCAACTTCTGGAGCGAGGGTCGGTCCCACAGGCCTAGCACTGCGTCCATGGTGCTGGAGGGGAGCCCCTCCTGTGTGGGGTCTGGGGGGGCCATGGGATCCAAGGTTCTCTCCAGATCGCCAGGCAGACAGCTGGGCAGTTGAGCGTCTGCCTGCCCGTTTCCACCCTGGGAAGATGGAGGAGGTCCATCAGGAAGCCCCGCCCCTTCCCCTCATTTTCCTCCCCCCATCAAGGGTGGATCTTCCTGGGACCGATAATTCCCCATTTCTCCTCTAGGTGGCATCTTCCGGTAGCCTCTTGAAACAGGGTTCCTGCCCCGCCTCTGAGAAGCATGGCTTCCTCCTCTAATAACTGCTGGGAACCATGGGGCATGGATTCCCGAGCTTCCTCCTCCTTTTCCTCCCCGCAGCCCATTTCCTCATCCAAGGGAGGCCCAAGAGCCACTTACTCAGCCCACTTTGGCTGCCCAGCATGGCATAATCTAACCGCCATCTTTTCCGCTTTGACCCGCCCAGCCCATCTCCTAAAAAAGGCCCCCTTGGTTATTTTGAACAATGCTTTTATTAAGGATTATATGCACAGAAAGAAAATTAGTACAAATAATGTGAATATATGGAAAAAAAAAAAAGGAAAAAAAATCCCTCCAAAAAAGGTAATAGGAAAAAGACACTTTTCCTTCTCATCCTCAGTCAGTAGATTCAACATCAAAACTTTACCACATTCATCCTTCACCCCATTTTCTCTCTCTAACTTTTCAGTTCTCCTCATGGATCAATATCATCTAGTAAAGGTTAAGAGAAATACCTGATTCCTTGACTTACGACTGAAGGAACCTATGACCAGAAATCCATTCCAAGTTGGGGTCCCAAGTCCAGGACTTCCTGTGCTCTGCAAAACATTATATCTACTCCCCACATACTTATAACTCTCTGGTGTAACCACTCTGATAAGTTACTAATGCGACTATGCAAGTAAGATATTCTCACAATTCCAACATTTACATCCTTTTGCCTCATTGTGTACTTCTGATGTTATTTGAGGTTCCTTCAGTAGGAAAAACATTTTCCCCAAACCAAACAATTGTACGATTTCCCTTCTATCACTGTGCGAAGTTCCTGTTAAATGTGAAGATGTGAATGTTGAAAAAAAAGTTTCCCAACACTGTTCACAAGTGAAGAGATTTATCTCTGCTATGGACTTTCTGGTGCTTTTCTAGCTTTCATTTACTATGAAAAGGTTTCTCACACTCTGTAAGGCTACTCTCCTGCGTGATTTCGCGCATGCCAGTGAAGTGATGAATTATGGGCAAAACATTTCCCACACTCCTGGCATTTATATGGTTTCTCTCCAGTGTGGATTCGCTGATGCATCACAAGAGAATCTCTCCGAGCAAAACAATGATCGCACTCTGAGCATTTGTGAGGTTTCTCTCCTGTATGGATTCGGCTGTGACTTAGAAGGGAAGAAGAATGAGCAAATGCTCTCCCACAGTCCAAACATTTATAATCTTTTTCCCCTGTGTGAATTTTCACATGAGATTTAAGGGCCGATGAGGTGGTATAAAATCTTCCACAGTAGTTGCATTGATGGGGTTTCTCCCCTGTGTGGGTTTTATGATGATTGGAAAGGCCTCCCTTGCATCCAAAGCATTTTCCACATTCCTCGCATTTGTATGGCTTCTCTCCTGTGTGGAGCCTTTGATGGCTTCCAAGGTGTTGTTTTTGGGAAAAGCATTTCCCACACTCCTCACATTTGTAGGGTTTCTCTCCTGTGTGGATTCTCTGATGAATCTGAACATGGGCTGGCGTAAGAAAACATTTCCCACACTCCCCGCATCTATGGGGCAGCTCCCCTTTGTGCCATTTCTGGTGTCTCCGAAGTTCAGAAGAATCCACAAATCGTTTCTCACATTCTGGACATTCATAGGGTCTCTCTCCAGTGTGGCGTTTCTGATGTCGCAGCAGCATTGATTTTTTGGAAAAACATTTCCCACATTCGAGGCACTTTTCATTTTTTTCCCCTGTGTGTGTTTTATTATGATTACGAAGACCTGAACTCTGGGTGAAACATTTTCCACAGTCAAAGCATTTGTAAGATTTGATTCCTGCATGCGTCTTCCCATGGGACCAAAGCTGTGCATTCTGAGGAAACCTCTTCCCACATTCCCAACACTTGTAAGGTTTCTCCCCAGTATGAATTCTCTCATGGATTCTTAGAGTGCCTTTTCTACGGAAAAATTTCCCGCATTCCAGACATTGATGTCGTTTCTCTCCAGTGTGGATCTTCTGATGTGTACGAAGGTCTGACTTTTGATCAAAGCGTAAGTCACATTCCTCACATTTATGGGGTTTTAGTCTGGTGGAGCTTCTGAGACCTTTTGCTTCATTTCCAGAGTTGGATTTCTCACCCTCCAAACCTTCACTGAGTCCACTTCCCACATGGACTTTCCTATGGGTCAAAAGGAGGGACCTGTGAGCAAAGGATTTCCCACATTCTGTGCATTCATGGGATTTTTGGTGATTTTTTGGAGTGCTGCTTTTATCTGATGGGGGATCCAAAAATTTCCCATGCTCCATGCTTTATGGCGGCTGCTGCCGTGTGTTAATTTTCTATTATCTGTTAATAGTTGTCTTCCAGGGAAATCTTTGGTCACAATCTTCCATCTGCTGTTAAAGGAAAAAGAAGGGAAGAATTATATTTCCCTTTCAGACACATAGAGAATCGTAAAATGTTATCCTTGGCAGGGACTTTGAGGGTTTTCCAGTCTGACCCTCTGCCCAGGGTAGAGTGCTCAGTACACCTGAGGCAAAGTGATGGAGGCCCTATATCTATGAGATGTTCTCAATGTATGACCATGGTTGGGACTGGAACCTTGGTCGTTCAGTGAAGCAGTGTGTCAACTCTGAAACGGATCGAGCCTGCCTCAGATATCTTCCATTTCTGTAGTTGCCAGAGCACCTAATGGGGCAATGTGACCTGTGACTCTAGGGAAGGGGGGGGGGGGGGAATCTCTAACGTTTAATTATGCTGAAAGCACGGGAAACAGCTAGAGCTGGTTTTAAGTTCATCCGTGCCGAAATGATGTACTCAGTAAAGCCGTGCTTTGAGGAAGCATAAGTCTCAGAGTGCTGAATCGTTTGGGTTCATTAGGTGGAACCTTGACACAGTGGTTAGGGGAGGGGTCATGGGAGCATTTCACTCCACAACCGCCATCCGACACTCATGGTTGCAATCGTGATCTTGGAGGTCTTTACGTGTCGGGAGGAGCAGACAATGGTCGTGGGGCATCTAGGGAGGGGAGAAGACAGGCACAGGCCATCCATAAATTGGGGAGCCACCCATTAAAGTGGGGTGCACAGCTGCAGCCACCCCTGGGAGCCTGAGCCCAGCCATGCAAAGCAGCTCTGACTGACAGCCATGCTGGGCTGGGCCTTAAGTGGAGGCCTGGGGCCTTCAGCACTCTCAGCCATCTGCCATTGTCCCCAGGCCTCGGCTTCACCCCAGTGTCACCGCTACCACTAAGAAATGCGGCCTTAATTCCTAGAGCGGAGGCCTTTGCAGGCTAGCGCCATTTTCAAAGCCGTATGGTCCGTACCATTTCCAAGCAACGTGTCCCAAAGCATCTCTAAGCTCCTCCAGGCCCCCTTAGGTCGAATGCGGCCTGTGCCTGGGAATCACAAGGTCTCTCCTGCTCACTTCAGACAGCCCCACATTCCTTACCTGGGGCTTTTGTCTGCTTAACAACACGTGAAATCGCTTAACAACCACAGTCAGGAATACAGCATTGCAGTCATTGAGCCAAGCTCTCACGTGACATCTTCCTTAATGACCACTTTGCTCAACAACCAAGAAACCGATTTTGGTCATGAGTCCAGGACAAACTACAGGAATTACCAAAAGCTAAGTGACCTTCTAACACTGCACCATAGGGAGTATCTTAACTTACTGCACCTGTGTATGGTCTGCCAATTGCACAGTGGCAGATAGGACAGCGCTCCAGAGGGTTAACGTCATTACCCAGAGGATCATGGGTTGTCCTCTCCTCTCTTTGGAAGAGCTTTATAGCTCCCCCTGCCTTGAGAAAGTTCAAAACATTCTCAAAGATCCATCTCATCCTCGGCACCCTTTTTTTTTTTTTTTTTTTGAACTATTAACATCCGGCAGATGGTACAGGACAATCAAATTGGCTGAAAAATAGCTTCTATCCCAGTGCAGCCACTAGATTGAATTCAACTGTATTAATGCAATATCAGGGCTTTTCAATTCAATTGCATGGAATGAAAAGGATGTATGTTTGTGTGGTATTTTTATAGTTACAAAGTACACTGAAGATGGCATTTAATCCCATTGTACCAGGTGCAACAGCAATAAAGAAAACGAAACAAAACTAAGGCATCGCAGAAGCAGAAGAGAAAGCAAGAGAATTCAGGCTCATGTTAAACAACCCATTTCTGATTCTTATCCCTTTTTCCTGCTTCTTCTCACTTTTGCACATATGATCTCCATCCCATTATGACTTCTCCAGCCCAGCTTCCTTCTGACATTATATTTTATAAAATAAAGTAAAAGTGGGGGGGGGGATTAGATCCACCAAGGAGGGGCTGCCACACCACAGCCTCTTCCCCGGGCAAAACAAGGAAAATAGAAAGTTTAGAAATTCTACCTATCTCTTTAAAGCAGAAGCAAAGTAAAGATTAGCATAAAAACAAAGGATTTTATTTCTGGCCTTTCAGACCCAGCACAAAGAAAGGGGGGTCTCTTTTGTGGGTTAAGACGGCATGAGCTCAATTCAATTAATTCAAACTTCTTTCCTTTTCCCAGAACCCTTCCCGCCCCGTTGCAAAGAAATCACAGTGTATTAACGACACACTACAAATCTGAGTAAATGCTTAGTTTAAAGCACAATTTATACTCTTTTTTTTTTCTTCTTCTTCCCAAATACACTTGCGGGATACGCATTCTCGGGCCTCGTGGTCTCACGGACCACAGAGAGACCTTCTGAAGGAACTTACCAAAAAGTTTCTTCCTGAATCCACCCGGGGAGCCTTGGCTGGGCGAGGAAGGGGGAAGATCCAACCCTGGGACGGAGCCCCCTTTGTCCCCCGGAGGGAAGGAAAGCGAGCCGGTCCCTGCAGGCAACGCCAGAGCCGGATCTCCCCGAGGAAAACCCGGGAAGCCGAAGAAAAGGATCCGCAGCTCCCCTCCTCCTGGCCGGGGAAGGTGGGGGAGATCTCGTGGCAGGAGGGGCCGCCTGGAGGCCGGAGAGAGAG